AGGAGGGCTAAGCTAAAGAACTAGCATGAACATTACCTTGGATGACTGATTCCGATATTGGTGGAAGTTACATGGAAAACTGATAGTTTTGTATTCAATTCCTTTCACTTCATTGAACAATAAGAGAACAATAAACAGAACAACAAAAGATTAAAACGACATTTTTGTTAGTTTTAACGTTGAGTCGCCCTTCACTAAAATATTAAAATCCGAGAGCCTGGAATCAAACCTCCTCATTTTAATTGAAAAATATTTTGTAAACAAATATCTGGAACAGCTATGAGTTCTCCATTATCACCAGTCTTCGCAAAAATATTTATGGAAGATTTTGAGAAAAAAGCTCCCGACACGTCTCAACTAAAACCAAAATTATGGAAAGCCTATATTAGAAAATATACTTCACCACAACCTTGCTTAAAAAGAGACCCCACAATGCACACTACATTCAAAATATCACTGACCACATGTCTTAAAAACTGTAACGTTAAAACCAGATTTTGTACTGTCAATATATTCGACAAAAAATATCAACTAGGCTAAAACTAGACCAGCCAGTTTCAGTCTGAAGAAGCCAACAGCGAAACATCAGTCACACATGAGGAATGCAGAAGATTTCGAAAAATTTTTATCACAAACACAATAACATAAACGAACAGTACATTTTTAAATTTGTAACTGACTTTTGATGAAGAAGTTCAATTTACCTGAAAAACTAATAGAGGGAATAGCACTGAACTTGAGTCCACTTCGACCTCTTTTGTCTGTATCTAACTACAAATTTATCCTATTTCGTTCATCCTTAGACACATCATATCAATTTGGTGGATTGGTAGTTGTTTAAGATATTCTCGCTTCTTTGCGGGGCATTTATTTTCTTTTATTATCAGTCGATTTAACGGCAAATGTGCCACACGCGCATTCTGTGTTCTGCATGGCGCTGCTGAATTGATCAGTGATGTGGGAAACCCAGGCTTTTTAAGTGTCAAAGTGAAATTGGAAAACTATGCAGTCCCTTCAATATCAGTGAGCTCGACGGAACAGCAAAGTCAACCCAACAGTAGCTGCAATCTATGCATCAAGAACTTTTTGGAAAACTTCACACCCAGTTACACACCTCTTTCAAAGGCGATCATCGTCCCTATTCGAAACACTTCGATTTGTCATAACGAAATTCAATACAAATAAAAAAATATAGAAAAAAGGAAGAACTCGACAAAAAAGCCCTCAAACAAACCAAACCCAACGAAAACAATTTTTAATATCAAATTCTCAGGATTATACATATTATGAAGGTTTTAGGAGTTTACTTTGACAAACTGTTCATAATTATTTTCTTTTCAAAATCCTTCTTCTAACTATAATTGAAATTTATAAAATTATTCCAGGTGATAGGGCTTTGCCAGGTTTTTCTTTAACTACATTGGGTAGGTTAATGAAAGATATAGGTTTTGAATAGGTGAAACGTGGTCGCAAAAGTACAATGTGTATTGTGAGAAAATGTCAAAATAATTTTATTGTCAAATTGATACATGCCGTTGTTGAACGTTGCGTCTTTTGCGCTTGGTTTTTCTTGCTTTTGAAAAATCGATAAAATCGAATTTTTTAAAAGCATACGCGGTTGGCAACGAAAATTATATCTCGGCAACGATTGGTCTTAGGGGACCGCCATTGATACAGAAATGATCAGTGTCGAAAACAAAACTTTTTTTGACTATTTTGCCGTTCTCCGTTTTCTGTGGAATTGGGTTTTAAGATTCACAGCCCACGTGTTACAGAAAAAATTAGAAAACTGCTGCTATCAAAACTCGGAGATCATCTATTTTGTTCGATTTGGCACACATATGGAGATGGGTTTCCTAACGACGCCTATTGCAACTGGGGTGGTTGGGGGCAGGCAAGTGTTTTTAAAAAATTGAAAATCGAGTTTTCAATAGAATAAAAAAATATTATTTTCCGTAAATCGCCATCGAAAAAATCTTGAACCAAAAGATTTGCGAGATCTAATGCTATAAACATTTATTAGTAATTTTCACAAATGCACAGGGTTTGTCCGGTATTTGCAAAAAAAATGAAAATTTCGTTCCCTTATAAAGACAACACATGTTTACAGTGATTTTGATGCTTAAAAGTTGTTTCCTCATTTGTATATTTTTGGGGGCCCTTTTTCCAAAAGACGCCACATTTTTGATCGATCGCGCAATTTTTTATTATCTTAAAAATGTTATGTCATGAATATACACACCTATGACATGAATATGTTTGTTCCATGTTTAGGCATGAATTTTAAGTGATTTTATTTTTATGGAATTAAATGTGATTTGGCAACACTGGATAAAATTATATGTCTCTACAAAGCAACAAATTTGGCGCACAAGCGTCAATCTGCTTATGCGCAGTTTGGTTGTATTGTGCTACATTGTGTGCGGCCGTTATCTTCGTTGTTGGAATGTGTGAACAATCCAAATAAATTCTGTTATATGTGTGGTAGTTATGTCGTAGTAAAGCAGAAAATGTATACCACGCTTATTTTGTTGTAAAAATTGGCGACAAAGACAAGTCCTTCAGCAGCATTAAGAAACTGACAAAAAGGTAGCAAGAAATGTTTAATCTTTGGTGTTCCTATGTTATGGCGAGACCCTAGGAATCAGAGTGATGATTGTTATTTTTGTTCGTGTAATGTTCAAGGATTCAACAGAAGAAAATAGAAACAAATTGTGTATCCCCATCTTAATTCTGCTATTCGTGCTATTCCTTGTGGACCAGAACTTTGCCGCCAAGAGAACTAAAAAACGTTATATCTTCAGAATCAGAGGAATTTAATACCGACCCAGAAGGCTCAGATTTCACAACAGAGTTCATAGAGTCCGAAATGTTTAACCAGAGCGAAGTAATTAGAGACTTGCGCCTTCCAAAGGATGCATCCGAACTGTTGGTGTCGAGACTTCGCGACAAGTATTTACTGGCACCTGGCGTCACATCAAGCGGGATCGCGAAAAAGAGTTACGTCAATATTTTACTTAGGAAGTACCAGTAGGACATTTCAACAAAATTCCTGACTTAGGATTCCACTTTTTTACTGAATAGAAAAGGAAATTATTTTAGAAATGTCGTGTTTTCACTTTAATATTTCTAAAAAAAACTTTACGTGATACTAATAAATGCATAGAATTTTTGAAACCAACTCACCAAAATGATGTAAAATCAGTTTTCCAAATAAAAACATCTCTCAAAAAGTTTAATTTAGTAGACCTGTGAAATTGAACATAACTAGAAAACTAAAACATGTGTATTGAAGGTTTTCACATATTGTGTAGGGTGTCTGAGTTAAAAACTGAAGCAATCCAATATCGTCAAGCATTAAAAAATGAATTTTTTTTGGCTTCCAAAAAAATGTTTTCTCCAAAACTATTAAGAAAAGCGGCAAAATTCTTTAGCCAAAAGACGCGGAAGATCTGCTACCGTAATCTTTGTTTCAGTCAATTTTTCGATTACATACAGGGTTATTCAATTACAGATAAAAATCCAAAAGAGCCTGAAAATTGTTCTTTTACAGAGTAAATTATTAGCAGCAAAGCAGAATTCTATAAAAATGTTGCCACTTTCTTCAAACAGTACCATAAACCGCATTAAGAGCTACAATTTCTGCTTAAGATATCTGGAGAAATCTATATGAAAATCACTATTCCGCGGACTTGATCTAGACGCGATAATGTCATTAACTATTACGGCGTATAGTTTGAGAAAAAAAATATTTTCTCCATAACTTTACTTCTGGTATTTTTTGGATTATGTACAAGTGTGTCTGTTATGGGCAAAAAAAATTGAAAGATTCAGAAAATTGACCTTTTCGTGAGTAAATTATTAGCCGTAAATGAAAAACTATAATTCATAAGATAATTTGGTTTAAACAGTATAGTAAATTGTGTGGGGAGAGAGTTTCAGGCTTTGTCTATCATACGGGGTACGCGAGACATGGAAAAATACCGTTGGAAATAGCTATTATTTGTAAAAAATTTTATGTTTATCAAAGTTTGCCGTGACTTTGAACTTCGGTGAGACGTGAAAGATAGTTTATAAAGGGTACAATAAAATTACATCGATTTTGCGAAAGTTCCGTAGTGGTCCGCAGGAACACGATAGAAATATAACATAATGGTTTCTTCTAAGACAAGAGACCCCGAAGCGGCATCCTGATGATGAGAAGTTTGATATGCTACCATGTTATAGTGTCATTTGTGTTTGGAAAATAATGGTAGCTTGTTTTTAACATTCTTTAATATTTCTTTTTTTTTGGAGTAAGTTCTTTTTATGTATTTTTTTTTAATGAATTAACATGTGACATAATCAACCTATTTTGCACTATCTTTTTTTATTTATCATGCCTGTGCCTACTACACCAATACATTGATAACTAAATTAAAACCTTGTTTTATGACTTAAACAATGTAATATCATATTGTGTCATACATCGTTGTATTCGTAATAAAAAATGCCATTTTATACAAGTTTTTTCATGGACCCTATGAAAAAATAAAGTTGTTGGCCTATAGGAATAACACCTTAAATAACACCAGCAAAAAATAAAAATACAAATCGGCGAACTTCGGTTTTTTTGTGCGTATTTTCGGGAGGGATGGAACGTTCTTAACATTTAAATTTTGCAACTGTTTTTTGATTTAACCATCTACGTATCCCTTATGGTTTAAAATGTCTCCATGACAGACATCCTTACCTAGGACACACTCTATTTGTAATAAAATACAGAGGAATAACATATGCACTTAGCGCCTGTGTCAAAGACTAGCGAAAACGCAACGTTTTCACGAAACGACTTCGCATCCAGCGCGCTGTGGCCGCGCTTCCATGCGCGACCTCTAGCGGGAACCGACGCAAGCTCTGCGGTTTGGGCGGGACGAGTCGTGAAAATCTAGTCATGCCGTGTTCGCCGCTTACTGCGGACAGATGCCCGTCGTCGTGGTCGCCCGTTTGAAAAACTGCGACATTGTCGCCGTTCAATTTCCGAGTGACATGAGGATATTGACGTCGCTCTACTAGAAAATGATTAGGTCGGATTACAGACGTAGTTCGAAATCGTAGATTACAGTTCACCGTCAAAGTCGATCCCATGTGCGCGGAACAGCTGACACACGACAAACATAACCTAAAAAAATTATTTGCTTTTCCGGTAGTGCGATTTGGTGTTGAGGTTTCGATAAGTTTTCGCTTGCCAGTGGTACCGTTCGGTTTTTCCGCGAGGCCAATTGAATCTAGTTCGAGTTAGCAGCGTAACCCTTATACAGAGTGTCCCGAAATTAGTGGGCCAACTTATAACTCGTACGACGCTGCTTCGTTCGGTAGCTTATTAAAGAATTTTTATTTTTATTTTATTTTATTTTAGTCATTTAAAATAAGCATACTTAAAGATTTCTAAATAATTACAATTTCCTTTAAATATCCCCAAAAATGAAAGTCCCATACAGTCTTTATAGTAAAATATGTACTTGTTCTAGAAAAATATAGAGTAAATCAAAAAAATAAAATTCTTTAACTCCCTGTAGCTACGAAACGAAGCAGAATCGGTTTATTTTTACTTGAAGAATCTCTCCTTCACAGATGGAACATGTTTTTTGAAACACGCTGCATAAACAGATATCGAGAAACTGAAAATAGTGGTTAATATTTTTGGACTATAAATGCCAAATTTTGGTCAGGGGCGGAAGTTTTGGTTAGCCCAAAAATGGAAAACTAGCCCTTGTTGGTGTTACGATGTCTTTTTATTAGTATGAAGTGTTTTTCGAACAAAGAATTTCATCTTACACAGTAGCTGGATTGTTAGAGAATATTCTCATACATACTCGCATGGAAATGTTCTTTCCGCGATAAGGAGCACCAAATCATTTTGGACAGGGTTCAAGAACGTGGTGGTTGGATGAAAATTTTGTGAACAAATGAATAGGTTGAGCTAACCCAGCAAATGCCAGCTAGGTCATCTGATTTAAACCCACCCGATTCTATTCTATTCTATTTTTCTACTCCCTTCTGTAAAATGCCTAATTATACACCGGTTTAGCGTGCGGGAAGCGTCACTTTAACACTTCAGTTTCTTGTCAAACGGATCCGAGCCATTTCGGACATTTCCGGGATATTACCGCACGTGTTTGGGAGCAATCGGATGTTGAATTTTGACGTTTGTCATTTCTGACGGTCATGTCAGTGAATGTATTCGTGTTGTTTTGCAAAAATGTACCCAAAAACTAACGGTGGTAGAAAAAGTATAGTATGCAACACGTCTGGTAACCTTTTTTTTCTACTCCCGTCTGTAAAAAAACCTAACTACACACCGATCTAGCGTGCAGGAAGTATCACTTTACCACGTTAATTTTGTTTCCCACGGAAACGAGTCACTTCAGATATTTCCGGGATTTTACCGCACGGGTTTGAGAGCAATCGAATGTTTTCGGAGGTATTTCCCACGCTTTGAATTTTGACGTTTGTCAATTCTGACGGTCATGTCAGTGAATGTATTCGTGTTGTTTTGCGAAAATGTACTCAAAAACTAACGTTCGTAGAAAAAGTATAGTATGCAACACGTTCTGTAAACTTTTTAAGTCACTCGTTTATTAAACACTCGCTCCGCTGGGCTCCGCTCGTTGTCAAATAAACTCGTGAATCAAATGCCATTTACCGCACTTGTTGCATAATATACTATAAGTCACTCGTTAATTAAACACTTGTTCGGCTGCTCAATGACTCAAATGCCGTTTGTCACTCTCGTTGCATAAAATACAATTATGCCATAGAAGTAGCTAATCCGTAAGAGTTAAGGCGAATTAATTTTACTGGAAATTAGATTAGGATCAGTCGCTTCGAAGTTCTTCATGCTCAAAATATTAGAGTAAGATCACGGTTAGGTTTTGAAAATTAATTAAAAACCTACAGTAAATTAGTGATTTTTCATTGTTAGCCATTTAATACAGAATTATGAATTAAATTTAATGTTTACATAGTCCGATAATGAACCATGAAATGCAAATTAACAAATAACAAATTTAATATAAATGAAAAATAATTTAAGGCATTTCAGAAAAAAAATACACGCAATTCACAAATTAAGTTGGAACTTGCATCTAAATCCTGTGGATAATAAAATTGTACATATGAAAGCTGCAATCATTAAATGTGGACGTCATTTATCGGAAAAAACTAAAGGCATGACCTACAACGCTCTATGGGGAACTTGTAGGCAAACAAATTTTCAAAGGATGCACTTCGGGGACATCTAATGTAATCAACAATAAAATAACTGCATAATTTTAACGCCAAAATGATAAACAATATATATCAAATTAACATAAGGGCCAATATAGCACCGCAAAATCTTATTGGTAATGTATCAAGAGCTTTGAATTATTTACCAACAGATGTTAAAAAACTTAAAGGCTTAGTATACAGATAGATAAGAAATCTAGGTATGTAATTATTCCCACAACTTTCTCACAGTTAGGTTTCTCGTGGCTTAGATATATTTGATAAATCACCCATTTTGTATACAAATAAATAAATATTTGTTCAAAAAAAGGAAACTGACAACATATCTTATCATTTCTGTTTCAAATTCTTCTTTTTCTAAATTTTCGTTAAGTAAATAAAATGGGAATGCTGAACAGTGTATTTTCCAAATTAATTTTCCACGAAAACGGTGCATACCATCATCAATCAAGTATGCATTTTTATCGTAATAGAACACAACGTTAGCCAAGTAATCAGAAAAAAGTTCAAAAATCAACAACAAAAAATTAATTGCAGTTTTTGTTTCCTGTGCCCCTCAAAATTTACTCCACCGATCGAAATTTAAGAATTATAATTTTAGAATCATATTCCGTGTCCAAAGTTGCTAAGACGCCATTATTTCTTAACTTTTTCTTAACCTGTTTATTATTATTTGTATATTATGCAACAAGTGCGCTAAACGGCATTTGACTCACGTGTTTATTTGCCACGAGCGGAGCGCAGCGGAGCGAGTGTTTAATAAATGAGTGAGTCAAAAAGTTTATCGAACGTGTTGTATACTATACTTTTTGTACGACCGTTAGTTTTTAGATACATTTTCGCAAAACTACACGAATACATTCACTGACGTGACGGTCAGAATTGACAAACGTCAAAATTCAAAGCGTGGGAAATATCTCCGAAAAAAAAATCCCGGAAATGTCCGAAGTGGCTCGGATTCATGAAAACCGAAACTGACGTCGTAAAGTGACGCTTCCCGCACGCTACATCGGTGTGTAATTAGGTATTTTACAGACGGGAGTAGAAAAAGATATTGTCAAGTTCATTCCTTTTAGGGTTTGTGTGACTTCGCAGAATATTTATTAATAAAATTTGTCTCCCAAATCGGCCATTTCTAAAGAAAAGAGCATAAACTCAACAATATATTGCATTGCACTCATTTTAAAAATAATTTTTTATGTTGTTGCCTTTCATTGTGCATTTGTGCACTTGCATTCGGATTTTGATCACTTCCTAATTAGAGGAGCGGAATAAAAAAAAGTATCTCTGCTTTGCTTTCTCGATTTTGACGGAACGATTAAGCCCATCTAATATTCAGCAGGTCAAAGCAACGAACGGAAACTTTTTTCCGCGAAGCCATTTCAATACTCTCCGACGCGCTAACAATTTGCTCTCCGGAAGAAATTCAATAAATCCGTACCCGTCCGTATAGTGTCTGTTTTATAAACTCGAGGTGTGCGCGCGGGTGTGTGTGTGTGTACAAAGAATCAACATAAATAATAGCTAGCGTTCTTTTTTCGATATTAAAAAATGAATCTCGTTCCAGATGTTCTTGACACGCGTTCGCCAGTGTTATTAAAATTTACGACGCAACACTTTTGGAAAAAGATATTTCCGAGAGTCGAATATAAATAATATGTGAGGTTAAAACCCGGATATGCTATAAATAAATCCGCGACCACGCCGTCTCATGCTGGCCGCTGATTCGGAACCAAATCGACTTTTCAATTGACAAAAAGATCGTCGAGAATGAATATTTCGGAAATGCTGACATTTAACGGGCAGAGAAAACCAATCTCGTGCCATTTAAACGTAAAGGCTTCGCAATTAAACTATACAAATGGTGAATTCGGTCTATCTATTTATCGGTGAATAATAAGCCTATTATAATGCTTGAAAGCTAATGTAAACAATGTAAAGAATGAAAATCGCCTATGTTAGCTTCCACATAATAGCGAAAACTGCTAAAGCTCATATAATTCGAGTTATGAATGGCAAGGGATGTCGACGAAATGTAACCGAATTCCTTCATATCAGTTCCTTGGGATAACATCATTGTGAGCACTTCGATCTAACTAGGGTGTAGGGTTGAAATAGCTCATTAACACGGGACAATCGATATTATAGGTAGGTGCAACAAATACTGTATTGCAAGGCCTGAAATTCTACACTCATAGTAGCAATCCTCTTCTTCCATTTGACAACCTGACTATTTTCACTTTCAGTTTAGTTTAATTAACTTAAACTACTAGCGTAAGTACGCCAGGAGTGGAGTGCTATCGACTTTTTCCTGGACAATTAATGGTGGTATACGCTTCTTGTATTCAAACTTCCGTTTTTTTGCTGTTAACAACCATTTCTTCACTTTTTCCATTCACGGCATCACTTCTGTATTTGTAATATGATCGGTGTATGATATCTGAGGAAAACTATATATCCCTAGCTGGAAGGATTGCAGTTACTTTCGGGTGACCAGTCTTAACTTTAATTCTATTTTAGTTCGATACAGTCATTTGCGATGATAAATGTAGCATCAGCGTACATAATATCGTTGATTGCTTTTCCGTTAATTTTAATGCTTTCTGTAGCCTTTCAAGGATGCATCCCTGTCGTACACCTTTTCTAATTGCTATCCTCTCGCTGAACAAGTTTCACAGTATCAAATAATTTGGAGAAGTCTATGTAGCACAGATGCATATATCTGCTTCTTTGAATCGGAACTTATACTGAGTGCATTCCGGAAACTAAAGTGAGACTCTGATATGTTTTTTAGATTTACTGTGGTAAAAGCCTTGGTAATATGGTTTTGAAGCTTGAGGCTTGTCAGGCGCTGTTGATCACAGTGCTTTGAATTCGTATCTTTGGTATAACCATAAAGCTTCACCATAGCCGTTACTCTGGAATTTCTCCGTATTCGTAAGGCGAGTTAAAAAGGTTTGTTAGAAAATCGAGGAAATGTTGGTCTGCCTCGCACAGAAGTATCAGGATACACCTTAATTGTTGCCTTCATCTTCCTTTGCTTCTCTTCTCTTCTTATTCATTTT